GATGGATGATGGATGGATGGATGATGGATGATGGATGAATGGATGATGGAAACCATCCCTCCAATGAAGAGATTGTTTCCCAGAGGAAACAGGAGATCTCTGCCAGGAACCAATGTGACAAATCCAGGGCTACCTGGGCATTGGTCTCTGCTGCCCCTGTGTCTCCAAGGCCTTTAGAGGGGTCAGTTGAGCTGAGAGGGCAGAGGCTGCTGGAAGGAGGGATGTGCTCCAGGGAGAGCTGGCTGTGCAGACACAGCTTTCCCTGCTTGGCTCTTGAACAGTGAAATTTTCATTGGGAAGGCCAGAACAGTGACATTTTCTTGAGGAAATCTGAAATCCAGCATTGTTTATTTTGGCCAGTGCCTGGGTTTTGGGGCCAGGTGGGAAATGGTTTTACAGGAGCTGCAGGTGGGCTGTGTGTGGAGGGGCTGGGAGTGGTGGTGCCTGGGATCCTGGACAGGGAATGGGAGTGAAATCCACGGGCTGGAACAATTTCCCCACCCTGCATTTTCCATCAGTCTGACCCTTTGGAGAACCCCCACAGTGCCACCAGTCCCCTGTCGTGGCTCCTTGTGTGACTCACCTGAGCCCTCGTTTCCCTCCCAGGTGTGCAAGGACCGCCGCTGCCAGAACGTGTCGCTGTTCGAGCTGGAGAAGTGCGTGTCCCGCTGCCACGGCCACGGGGTGAGCCCTTCCCAGCAATTCCTGCTGGGAGCTGCAAGTCTTTGAGCCAAACCCGATCCCCCAGGGATGGGCCCCGGATTTCTGCCTTTCAGACCTGCCCCATGTGCCAGCTCCAGGCGGGGCTCTGGGATTTGGGATTTCTCCCCCGTGTCCCAGTGAGGGGAAGGAGATGGGTGGTGGTGTGAGGATCATCTGCAGAACTTGGATCTGATCAGGGTCTGATCTGAGCTGGAGAGTGTTTGGGGCTCAGAGCAGGTGCCTGGTCCCCCTGAGAGCAAAACAAGAGCTGGAAAGAGAAGTGGGAGAGCAGAAAGGCAGGGAAATGGTTCAGGGATGGGAGGAGACACCGTTCTCCAAAGCTGAAACGTTCCAGTGGTTTGAGCTCAGTGGAGAGCAGGGATTTGTCACACGAGGCAACAGAAATGCTGTGGGAATTCCTGCTGGGTTATGGCAGGGATGTGGCTCCTAAAACATCTGATGAACCCTTTTGTGCCAGGTAAAACATGCACTGCTATCATTTTGTTCTGCCCAGCCTGGTTAAGGCTCTCAGAGCTGGGGCTGGTCAGCCTGGAGAAGGGAAGGGTCAGGGGAGACCTTCTGGCACCTTCCAACACTAAAAAGGGGCTGATAAAAAAGAGAGAGAGCGACTTTTGGCATGGGCAGGGAGTGACAGGATCGGGGGGAATGGCTTCAAACTGAAAGAAGAGTTGTAGATGGGATATTGATGGGATTTGGGGCAGGAATTGTTCCCTGGCAGGGTGGGCAGGGCTGGCACAGGGTGCCCAGAGCAGCTGTGGCTGCCCCTGGATCCCTGGCAGTGCCCAAGGCCAGGCTGGACACTGGGACAGAGGGAGGTGTCCCTGCCATGGCAGGGGTGGCACTGGAGGAGCTTTGGGGTCCCTTCCAGCCCAAACCACCCCAGGATTCTGTCATGTCCATTGTCAGGGGTGAGGCTTCTTCAGCCCAGATTCTGTCACCATCTGTCCATCCCTGCCCCCTGCACCATCATTTCCACACATCCTGGTGGTGTCCAAGCCTCTCCTCTGTCCCCAGGTCTGCAACAGCAACAAGAACTGTCACTGTGACCCGGGCTGGGCCCCCCCGTTCTGTGAGAAGCCAGGCCTGGGGGGCAGCGTGGACAGTGGCCCCGTGCAGAGCCACAGTGAGTCACAGCCTGTGCCCCAGGGGCTGCAGAGGTGCCAGGCAGGGCTGGGTGCTCTCAGAGGGGCTGCAGAGGTGCCAGGGGGGGCTGGGTGCTCTCAGAGGGGTTGGGTGGGACCTCTCCAGGCAGCCCCCCAGGCTGTGCCCAGCTCTGGCTGTTGGTGGCCACCCGTTGTCATCAGAGGCCACTGAGGGTCTGTCCCCTTCCTGGAGGTGTGGCCAGCAGGGATGGCTCCGGCTCGGGGGGCCAGGAATGGGCAGATGGGGCCACCACTCACACGGTGAGGCCTCAGCCCCTCACTGGCCCCTGTGCTTGCCCTGCCAGACCACGAGTCCACCCTGATGGCCCTGGTTGTCATCTCCCTGTTCCTGCTGCCCGCCCTGATGCTGAGCATCTACTACTGGTACCAGCAGGAGAACTCCCTGCTCAGCAGGTGGATCAAGGAGA